TGGACACATTGACTGCATGTTCCTCATCACAATCTGTTGAGAACACATCTGTTACACCTCGACGACACAATGGTTTTCACAATGAGAATGAATTAAGGGGTCTCAGGATAACCAGTTCTATGGAATCCAACTATGCAGACGGAACTTTCACGGATTGTTCGACGCACACTAACAGAGGTCATTGGAATTCAACCCGACACGAACATTCGGTTGCACAGTCAATGTATAATCTTTCCGAAGCAAAGAACGAAGAAAATCTTCGATCATGCACCCATAGTGTTGTCAGTGCACCAAACAGTAAAAGCCTCAAGGAAAATCTGGCTACTGTGATCTCATTCATCAAGGGTAAGTTATCCGGATGGTGTACACCTTAGGATTGGTTTGATATACGAACAGATTTAGCAGCCAAAGAGCCAACTAACCAATATTTCAATTAAATCCTCATGGTACTACTCATAAGGTTGCTGAAAATCCATCGACAGCCCATGACCGGTTTCGCCCTAAGTGGGGCTCATCAGGTAGGCGCAGTCCCCTGGTTTCCGTCAACTTTATGTTTTACTTGAAACCAAATTGCACGAAATTAGCGAATATACACACTCATTTACAAACTAATTTGGTTTTTCGAGAGACTCATCTGGAAGCCAGCTGAATCTCTCGTTTGTGATGTTTTCAGGCAACTGAATGTGCTGTACCAGGCCGTCTGTCCCCCATCCCACATTTAATCGCGCCTCTGACTCAACCCTACGAGTAGTGCATTACGTATATACATAAATCCGGATATCTCGAATATCGTGGCAACTGGAACATGAGCCAGCCTGGTGCAGTACATTCAGTTGCCTGAAAACATCCCAAACGAGAGACACAGCTGGGTTCCAGGCGAGTCTCTCGAAAAACCAAATTAGTTTGCAAATGAGTGTATATTCTCTAAATCCTCGTGGTTTTCAATTGTATTCAGTTCCTGTTACAAGAAATTGAAGTGTGTCAACTGCCCCGGTTTCACAAGGGTTATCGACTGAATCCCAGAACATTCTAGAATGTAACGCTGAAAAAATGATAGCATCAGTGACTTCATCGAAGTACGTGCTTTGAGGGCTGGCTGTAAAGTGGGATAAACTCTCCAAACATTCAGGGATACAAATAGAACATCCGGTAAAAGTACCACAAAATGTCATTGGAATGTGTTCAAACAAAATTTCCGCTGAGCCTGCAACTGTAGAAACTGAAATCACTTACTCAAGGTGTTCATAAAATAGAACAGATGAAGGAAACGTGGTCAGTTTTTAAAAGATTTTTCAGAAACTAGATAAAGAAGATGGGGGGAGTGTTGGATGCTAATGTTCCATCACTCCAGGATGTTGAGAAAATCCCAAGCCAAATTGGCTGACTGGTTGTGCAGTGCAACTCAATATTCTGTGGCGAAAGCCCCCACTTCATTGGTTTTATTTCGAACATGCACCTACGAAATGTTTGTCTGTGGTGTGAAATTACTGAATTTGGTTTCGTTACACTGTTCTTACCGGATCAACTTGCACTCAGCGTCGAATTAGGGACAACGATGAATGAATTGCCTTTTGATTAAGTTTACTTTCCATGGTTGGATTTATGTCAACCTTGATTACAAAGCGTCTCCTCTAAGCTGAATCCTACGAGACATGGCCACAATCCGTACTCTTCAGGGTAGTTATCAGCGTTTGCCCCTTGGCACACACGAAGTGTAGTAGGTGTTCCGAGGTTGAGTTATCCTCTGACCTGTCTTGGCATGACTAATGACTGAGCTTTTTAGAAGATGTGGCTAGACTTTCGTTTTTACCGCTTTTATTTATTATTACCGATTTTATTACCGAGCACCGGACGCTGTAATAGAATACTGTCCTTCCCCGGTAATGTGCGCCCTAGTTTCCTCACAGTAATCTCGATAGGTCGATATTAGTAGAACTCATCCAGATCTTCTCGACACAATTCTTCACGACTTTTCTCACCCTCCATATGCTGAACTAGGGAACTGCCTTTCCGAGGGCTCGTTAAAGATCGTTCGGGGTACTTTTGTACATCGGAACATCTGTCAATACAAATTCCATATTCTCGTATTTGGCCCGACTCAAGACTTCATCTTTGTCGTTTAGGTGTACGCTCTTATAGGTGTTGGCTGTTTGAAGCAAGTTGACTTAAATATTCAAAAACTTATGGACATAGAAGCTCTTTATCAGTGATCGGAATAACTTGTACCCAACTACAGGCCAAATAAAATGCTTATTTGGAGATTCGTCAGTGATGACGAATGAAGAAAACATCTTTTCATAGAGGAAACTACTTACAAGATTGCTGAAAACTTTTCATCAACCCACGACCGGTTTAGCCCTTCCGCTTCAGGCTCATCAGTTAGACGCAGTCCCCGAGTTTCCGTCAACCTTATGTTCTACTTGAACCCAAAGTGGGCAGATTTCGACAAATACACTAAGTTGCACACGAATTTGGTTTGCACATGACATTCAACTGAATGCGAAGAATGTCATAAACTAGGGATGCAGTGAAAACCAAAATGGTGTGCAAATGACTGTATTTGTCGAAGAAAACATTTATGGTCCTCCTCATGAAAGTTATTGAAAGATACGGCGTTTTAAAATGACATCAGTTACTCATCCGCCACTCATTCCAAACGCGTGTACCTGTTTGTTAGACGTACCTTACGACCTTCAGCTTCCTGTGTCGGCCCTTCAGCACGAACACGTTCACCTGTTCAGACATGATAATTCAGGCTAACACGCTCGTCTCGTATGCCAGATAACCGGATTTCCAACTCCGGCATGCTGACGAAGCGACTGGACCTTAGCGTAGTGTAACATTATGTGTACCTCCGTAACCCACTGAGCTATACTGGGAACGTGCTGCAAGACCCACGGAGTCTCTCTTACTAGGTCGGTCAATGATTAGAGGTCTGACGAACACAGTCTCTTTGTCCTCCAGGTTAGAGGTTCTAACATGTGTGGCGACTGGTTCCGTAAAATTGGAAACGCACCTGCATTTTCTACCAAATCCGCTTGCCTTGCGGTCAGGCCTTTGAGATAGAGGCTTTGGTTGTGAACCCTAATCGTCTTCCTATCTAGGTGTGGGTGCCCTGGCAGTAGCCTAGCCCACGTACAACCATGCGCCGCATATATACAAAAAACTCATGCCACATCGACCGTCGCTTGGTGCCTTCACCCAGGTCATCGTACTTGTTGCATGGAGCAGGGCGGGTAAGCGAAAACATGCTACTGCTGAGATCTGACTCTTTTTCTTCTCATCCCCGCATCCCATTAATAACTCACTTCTTGCAGGCCCAGCTGTCAGGACTGGTGACTCTGCTTGTCCTGCATCGGTTTTGCAAGCAACATTTGCTCGTCATCCGGTGCCGGCATCCTCAGGTGTCTCGAAAGCAATATTCAAGGCTCGACTCCCACTCTGTCTGGTCACCCTCAGTGTCCACACTCTGAGGCAAGCAGGACAACCAGCTGCTCTTGCCCTCACACTGGGCTCTTTTGGAATTGATGTATGTTGTCTCAGAAACAAGATTTCAGGATGTAAGCACATTGGTTGAACTAGCCGTCCCATCACTCTCCACTCGTTTCCAGCTGTATACCTCTGGCGGTCCAGAGGTAATTGCGAGAGGTATTATCCCAGGTCACCGGGCGAAAACGCCCTTGCTTGACTGGATACCCGTTGATAGTCGCTTCTATGTGGTCCGTGTGGCAACACTGGTGAAGGAATCTCACAAGCGGAAAGCTGATGGTTGATCGTCGTGTCTCCTTACTGTCTGACCGACTGTAGCTCTGGCACCATCGAAAACAAGTTTTATGATACCATGAGTGCCCTGTTACGGCGGGCTAAAGTTCAGAAATCCTGGTGGTACCAGAGATCAGAACGCCCAAGTGAACAGGCTTAGCGCATCTGAGACTCAGTTAGGTGGTCGACATGGACTGGATTCGGTAAGCACGATGAACGATTGCTTCAGCTGTGTGCGTTCTCTTCTTCGAAGAGGAGAAGCCGTAGATGTTTTTAGATGAACTGGCCAAAGTCATGCCCCCCTTCAGTATGTACTTTACACCCACAAAGTGAGGTCATGGTGATGGACATGTAGTCACTGAACACACCACTTATCATCCATGGAGAGACACTCGCATTTGTGGAGCATTTTACATATCTTGGAACTTGTATTAGTTATGATCTTAGTATGAAAAATGAGGTCAATGTATTAGTACACAGGTGATGATATTCATAATACAAATCAGAAGGTGAATGTGCACTAATAGAAGTTTTGTATGGTTGGCGACACGTATGAAAATAAACACAGTGCGAGGATGGGAGCAAGTCAAAAAGGGAACTTATCGGATGCGAGAGTCCCTTGGTGGAAGTCCGGACAGCGGGAACGTGTTTTTCTCCGCAGTTAGACTGCTACACGTACTCCATGATTGTCCGTGGACTCGTGGAGAGGTTGACGTCCTGGCCCCTGCGCGCGCGCGAGACTGTGTGTCTTGACTGGGTTCGGTTTGCCTTTATGTAGGTCCCAGTGCGCGTATGTGGGCGCGTCGGCACATGAGTGGTTGCTACGCTGACTAGGCGGTGCAGACAATCGATGTCCGACGTGTCAGCTTAATGCGACGTGTTTGTGAGTGTGAGAAAAAGACAAGCCTCGCGATCCAGTGAGCGATTGAGTTGAACAGTCAACTATATGGGTGACTGGGTCGCTACAAATGCACGAATCTGGAAGGCTTGGATCACATTTTCTGTTGAGGAATCCGTAACGATGCAGTTATAAAGGTAGTGTTCGGTTGTGCAACGGATACTTCAATTGAAGAATGTGTCCAGTGTGGGTTAGGCCATGTATTCCGTATGCCGAACCATCGTTTTGACAAAGGGGTTTCTGTTTTCTTTGCGTAATTCAGGGTGGCGGAAGCAGTGAGGTGTCCAACCCCTGACCTGGCAGAGGGTTATGAAAGAGAGTGCGAAACGTTCGGGTGTCAATGGTGCTACTGGTCTTCCAGGATGGGGACCGCATGATCCTCAATGCGCCTGGTTCGAAACGTTGCATGATATGGCTGCTAATCGATATCAGTAGCTCTATTGTTTTCAGTTTCTCTCCAGATTGCCTGAATGGGTGTCTGGAGGTGTAGGAACCTGGGAGTGATTGTGATAGGATAGCCCCTAGTCCCTTCCCCGTCCACTTTTGTTCTTTTCTTCACAGTAAGACTTTCAAATGGATCATGGTTGCACGGCAGTGAAGCATCAATGTCGAACACTGATGCTGTCGAGTCGATAACGATGATGATGATGATGGTGATGATGATGATGATGATGATGACGATGAATTTTTTGTTGAATACAAGGATAGTTACTTCTAGGATGATTTTCTAGAAGACTGATGTGAGTGCGAATCCACTGAATGACACAACCACTTACACTTAACCATTCGCGCTGTTTCCCATGGTTACAACTCGAACTGAAGTGGAAAGTAGGGCAAAAATGTAACTGATCGAACGAGTTAAGCTTGGCCATTTTTTAGAGGTTCTTACTTAACCTAGTGCCTCGTTCCTGGTAGATGCCACGAAGCACTGTCCGTGAAGTTAGCTCGTCGACGATGGTTTATCACTAGCATTAGTAACTACATCAATCACAATACACAACAGAATCTGCACGTGGCGGTGTCAACTTGGTGCAATGCTATATTCAGTCACTGTGTCAGTTCAGCTGCGCCTTTTCGGTTGCCGGAACATCGATCGTTCAGGTTTTTACCTGTTTTGTAGAACGCCTCAGAAAACACTGGATTCCAGTTATTAGGTCAAACGATGCTCATAGTAAAGAATACATACGAACAGGTGTGAGGACAAAGCATATACGAACAGCAGTCGCAAAGACCACCTAACGTTGTTAGTCATGACCTCCCCCAGAAGCACAAAACCGAAATTGGACGATAAGGGACGAAAATATACTATGGATTACTGCAGCATATTTTTGAGTGCATGTCACGCCACTAGCACTGCATTATTCAACTGTTCGTTGATATTCCATAGCTTGGACGACTGCCATGTGCGAAAGGGCCTGTTGGGAGAGAGCCGATTAGACAACCAAGTAGGGACTCAGTAGAGAATGCCTGGAATCAATCAAAATGCAAATATACAGGTGCTTATTTACTTAGTTCAATTTCTACCGAACTAGTCAACGTGATTTATACTATTTCTTATTCCAATCTGACCAAACTGTTGCGAAATTAACGGACCAGTACATCGGGCCAAGTTTTCAGCAAGGATGTTATTCTGTCTTCATTCTTCCAGCCTATCACTCTCTCTTTGTCTCTCTCTCTCGGACGGTGGGAACTCTGGTTAGACCTTCGAAACCCGCGAAATCCTCGGATTTCTATAAAGTTTTTCAGTTTAATTATGAATAAACTTACAGTGCGTACTTTTATTCATCTTCTTATAGATTTGGATTTTACCTTCACATCACCACCTATATCGCCAACGTGTTTATGATGCTTTCTGATGTGTCCTTGCTTATTTGTCTGACTACAAAGCAAACTATAAGCATAGTGCGATCTCCTTCCGTTCCTTTGTTACAGCGTGACGAAAGCACCTCAGTATTCACTCACACAACAACGTAGAAACGGCCTACATGGTGTATGGTGAAGCATAATGAAAACCTAGTCCACTGAGTGACAAAGCGCACTGCACAGAGCGGTAAACGCTCTGCGCAATAACCAAGAATCGATCGCTTGCCGGTCTAATTCGAATTGCAAAAAAAAACAATCGAATAGGTGTTCTTGGGCACACCTACAGAGCAGTAATTAACCCATTCGATTTAAAAATCTTTGGACCCAGTTGGTGTCAGACAACCAAACTTAGTCGACGGAAACTGCGTGCATACTAATTTTTGATGAGCTAATGGGCAAGAGCTGAGTTGAGTTTGAATCGAAATGTCAAGAATCAGGACAGGTTTAGATCGCGCTAATTCATTAGCCAAAGGTTTCGAGTTTCGTACGTCATACTGATGGGCAAGATGTTTCTGCTATGCAGCCGATTAATCGAGTTGAACGTCCAAATGAAGGTTGTGTTTGAACAATTTCGGTCGCTGGAATCCGATTACTGTCAGTCTAACTACACTTAACGGTGGCTGTATCTCCGAGGTCAACGGCCTGAAAGACAGCGTTTTTTGGCCCTGTTCTGAGCCCGGTCTCATTGAGCGATCCTTCAACCAACTCCCATTCTAACCTCGGCAAACACAACTACAAGCGTAATCTCAGTCGGCTTGGTGACAGTGTTCGGCAGTTAGTTGAGAAAATGAGATAGACAGCGTACGATTGAAAGCACTAAAGAGCAGTGTGTAAAAGGCAGATAATATAACGAAAAAATTAGAGCATCTCCTAAATCGTGGTTACAAAAGTCAACACTGAAAGCCGGAAATATCGTCTATTCTCTTACAACATGGCCAGAGCTGATGGTCGATTGGAAATCGGTACACACGCCATAACACTTGTAACAAGCAAAATGTAAACCGCACTCAGCCTTCGCTTCTCAAGTCGCGATCATTTTAGCGACAGTCGTTCATTTTTCGTTTCCCCCTTCCTCTCTTAGTTTGAAAGAAGCGTTGCGGTTGCATAGAACGAATGAATTCCCACTTGCTCTGGGAGGCCAATTCAGACTTTATGCGATGTTTCGTCAGTGAACTTATCACTGATTCAAGGCTATTTTTCACAAAAAGAGATTCAAGAAATGCTCTCAAAACTCAGGAACGATAACGACTTAGGTTCACTTAGTCGATGCGAGTCATCCGTGACTGTCTGTCTGATCTACAGGACAGAGCAGTAGGTGGACACACGGCCAGAAACAAAGGTCGGCTAGCATTTGTCTGAAGCCTTTTGAATAAATACTAGTGTGCGATTGCTCTGATCTACCCTACTTTGTTTTGTACATGAGTTTCACTTATCTCATTGGTAGAAGCTACCAGTTAGGCAGCCGAATACCAGAGGATGATTGGAAATCCTACGGTTCGGTACTATTGGTGTGCTTTCTGATTGACAAATGGATCGAATGCGCGTGAACGCATTGGGCATTTTGCTGATTAGCCTGACAGCTGAGTATTTCGTAAAACACGACGGTTCAGGAAAACCATAAGTCAGCTTATTCACAATCTTTCAACCCTCTTAGACAGGCTTTATCAAATAAATGACAATTTATTTAGCATGTGTCGACACCAAACCAATACACTACTCAAACGGTTGACTTCTGTTTTATTCGGACCGTTGTGTTTTTATAACTGAACTTTAAGCTGAAGTTTTCGGTCATAGCCTCAAGAACTCCACCTTTTTCGGAGACCAACGGGCGGCAAGCATGTAACTTATTCACCTGAAGGATCAAGAACAATCTGTTGGCTTTAGACACCTGGTCCGCGATTCCTCCGTTGCCCAGTTGATGTCCGACCGGTACAAAGTATGCGGTGGGTGGTAATCGTATCCAGTGGGCAGAACTCACCCCCAACCAAACTTTGAACAAGCTCTGTTCTTCCGTCCTCTTAACTACAGTATCACTTTCGTGACTTTGTTTTTCCGCGGAATATTCTTTAAAACTAATTTTTAGGGGCTCACACTGGTGAGAAAGTCATGTAATCGGAAATCCATTCCGGAGGTTCTTACCATGTCTCCGCGATTGGGTCTTTTGGGCTCCATCTTAAAGTTCATAAGTATAGGACGGCCAGGCAACGGCCGCCAAAGGTTGCACAGATATTGTGAGATTTTTTTGGTTACTTGAAGACGGCTGACTGTGCAATACGCAGCTTGTTGAGCTTTACGTGCCTCAGCCTTTGAGGATTGTCCTCACTGCAATTGTGTCTCCAGTCAGTGAAGGTAAAGCGTGTCAGCCGGTTTGATCCATGATACCATATCAACTGGCACCGAACTTTGTATCGGTCAGGAACTGAGGCTAATGTGTTCCACCTGCTCAAAGTTATTCTACTTGGCAGTCAGACGAGGAAGTCGAAGACCCAGAAGGGTTTCCAGAGGGGATAGTTCTAGAAGGCGCACAGTAAGGTTATGGATTTCCTTTCAGTCAACAAGGTCGACAATATAATCGAAATATTTTCAAGGGACATCTGGTTCCACGAGGTGCTGAGGCTGAGAGTCGAGAAACCGAAAAAGAGGGTCTTTGTGGTGTTGACCAATATAACTGAGGAGAGGAACCCATTGCACACCACTCTGCATCGACAAAGAACAAACTCAGCCAAAAACGAAAACGCATCACACTTGGAGGAAAACTGACATATGGAGATGAAGTCCTTCTCTGGTCTTCTATGACTGGATGATGCTTTCTAAGTTCTACGGAACCGTGGTCTGAGATGGAAGGGTAATGGGAAAAGTAGTTTTCACGAATATGGCTGGCTGAATATGATGAATTACGCTGTCCTCTCTATTAACTCCGGTCTTTTGGGTGATCGGTCTCATGGAACTTTTTTGCGCAATAGCGTAAACATGCAGGCTAGAGAGTGTCTTACACAGTCTCTTTAGGATACCATCTCGAAAGTTGTGACACCAGATTTGCCTGAAGGTCATTCAAACATCCAACCATTCCTTGCACCCGGTCTTTAGGAGCATATTTACGAAGGATGATGTAAAATATGTACGAATTTTTATGAAATGAATAGCAACAGTGAGTGATAGCTGCTTTAGGTTTAATTAGATAGTATGCCACAATTTTAAGGCAACAACGTGGTATAAACGAGTGGGCGCTAATCGTGCAAGCACTATCTATATTCATTGGCAAAAACACATACTGCCCCATGTGCATGAAAAGTGACAAGTCATCGGCATCCGCCTAGTAATTTTGTTTTCGGAGTATTTCCAATAAAACTGTTCTGTCATATTATCACACAGCATGTGTATGTGTGATGTTAACTGTGAATGGTTGTCGGCTAAACTCACCTCGTACGTGTGCTTCGAAGTAGACTGATGTAAGATGAAATCACTGCTCGACTTAATTTTTAACTAGTCCATGAGGGCGCGATTCCAGCCATCAAAGTTGTCTTGTTTAAACCTACCTCTACTGCAACGAATCGGCATGCGGACATGTCACATAGTACAGCCCTTAACCATCAGTAACGAAACGGTTTAACTACCACGCTGACTCACTGCACAGAAATTCCATCAAAACACTTGGTATCACTGCTGACAAGAAAATTTCACGAACCTAGCCCATCTTACCTGGTTTATCTTCATTCCAGTTCAAACGGGTGAGAAACATTCAGAGTGATGTGGACAAAACCCCAGCCCATCTGACCACATTTCCTTGAACGTAGTTGAATGAAAACCGTTTTTGAATATGTGAGATGGTATGAACAAAAGACTTGTCGATCGGCGGAATGCATCTTCAGCATGATGTCGGAGTTTTGTCCACAAAATTGCGTTACTCACAAACACATAGCCATCGGTTTTTCAGACTAATCACAAGGTCGTTGAAATCTCCTCGACACTACACGATGGGCTTTGTTGTTCTTCATGCAGGTGCAGACCTCCGAGTTTTCATCAACTCCAAGTTCTACTTGAACCCAAATTGTACGAAATTCGACAAATACACTCATTCACTTTATTTGGTTTGCACGAGAGACTCATCTGAAGCACACCTGAACCTCTAATTAATGACGGTCTTTTTAAACCGATGATCTGGGTGACTTCCTTGCTAGATCTAAGTATTCTCGAATACTTCTCGCAGATAGCCAAGTGCACTTCGGGCATAGTGGGGTGCGACAACTTGGCGTTGATGCAGGGGCTTGTATAATGTGTATTCAATGAACAAAAATTCAACGCTGACGACAGCACTTAATGTCCACTTTTTTTGAATTGAAGACCTAGTTGATTATTGCTTGCCAAGAATAGAAGTCCAAACCATCGGCCTAGTCATTTATTGAGCGTCAGATGGACGGTAGTCAACAAAGTGAGAAGAAGAGCACGCCGTTGGTTTAGAAAACAAGCGCGAAATATGTGCCCTTCTCCACATGTTCATGCCGAAATACCGATAATACGGAGGTGTCTATAAATTGGTAATCAGTTAGCTGTTGACGTTTGTTAGTAGTATGAGGGGACTTGGGAATTTTAGTGAGGATTTCGGTTTTTACATGAAACCAACCTATGCTAGAAAGCTGAGAACCACTGTTCAACTGTTTCACCTTTATTGGGAGCCATAAGAATTGCACATCTAAAGAGGAGTCTCAAACCCGTGACGAATCAGCAATGTGATTAACTAGCACTTAGACACGACTAAGTGCCACTCATGGAATCCACATCTCGTGACCACACTTGCTGACTGGCTCCGCGAGCTTTTGGTCTACTTGCCGAACTTGGCAGTTGCCTAGCGATCGATGCATCCATACCGGGGATGATTTGGCTCTACATGTATTTCGGCCATTACGTGCTCGCGGGTGAAGTCCCCATCTAGCACTGATCAAAAGACGTTCTGGCAGCTGATAGATGGCGTTCGCTGAGACATCAAGTGAGTGTGGTATGAAGAGTGCATCACCAAACGACTTGAGATTGTGGTACTGACGTGTTTCTAGGTTTTGCTTCGTGATAGGGTTAAAACACTGCCTCTTCATCCTAGAGGATATTTCCAGACATTGAAGTCTGTTCCCCCTTCGTCTCCTGGAATGTGTAGATACTATGACTATCTAACTGCAATCTAACCGTTCTTTGGATTCATCAGGTTGGTGCGATCCCCGAGTTTTCGTCAACCGTATGTTCTACTTGAACCCAAATAGCTATCAAGTTATTCCTCAGAGATAGAATACTCCACTTCTGATCTTACTCTACCTCTGGAAGTCTCCTCTCTCTACTGCTGTCGATGTTTATACCTTCTAATAGTGTTCCGAATGGTGACCTCCTATTTAGTCTGACATGCAGCCTACTTGTACTAGCTTATCTTTGAAAGACAATGGTTGACGAACATCCATGTTGCAACCAAATCAATCTGTCTTATCAAACGTCAAACGTAGAGTGCACGTACGCATAATCACGCAGAGACTGCCATCAACTAAGTAAGCAGCGTATTTCTGCATTTCCCACAAACCGAAAAAGCTTGTCAGTTATGGACGAGACAAGATCTTACACGCACTGTTTGGGTGCGGTGTGTCCTAATTTAGTTGTTTTCGTTGCGTCAATGGCAGTCAGTCAGTCAGTCAATCGGTTTTTCAGCTGCAAGTCATGCATCGAAGTACAGTAGTTCCGGATTTTGCAATTCCGTGCTCATTAAATTGTTCTGTCTACCCCTTTTGGCATAGAGTAAGAAGCAATGAAGTTGACAGGCTTGGCGCAGGATTGCCATTGGTTGCTTGAGATAACCCTCTGTCTGGGTCAAGTAGCTCATCCAGGTAGCTCCTTGTGGAGAGACGACACTTAATAATGCGACTAAATTGACTGGTAAAGAAGGATGACCAATAATAGCCGTAACACATGTTTTCGGTTCTGCGGTAATGAAATTTCATTTGTAAAATGTTTTCTTGACAATCTTTGTGAAGATGTGTTAGGTTTCTCCAACCCATCTGAAGTGTGTGATTTCCGCGAGCTAAAGCTGTTTAATACTCGCCAGTTCTCATCGTCTGGGTTATAAAAATCTAGTGGTTTTATGGGCTAGTTCGGTCAAACAGATCTCAGTAGAATAAAGTTAATCAGATGTGATTACAACGTAAACTCTTTGGAGTGATCAGCTGAGCTCGATTTAAGGCTAAGGGCATGGTTCGAATCCGACCCCGGCATCTTGACTGCTCCTGTTTAGGTTTGGAAGAAGTCACCATATCTTAACCCTCTTGCTTGCGTCGGGTGGTATGGCAGCCAGTCACCGAAAAGGCGTTACAACTGAACGATTGTTGACTGTTGCAGCTGGGAAACCTGGATCAATGACATGGGGCAGTTTTCATTTTGTTGTTTCTTCTTGAGGAGAAAATGGGCCACACGGGGAACCAGTGAGTGTATCTTCCTCGGTTCTGTGAGGTTCGCTTTGTCGTGGAGGGAGTGTAATCGGGGAAATCCGTACATCCAAAAACGTCCATCATCTGGGGAAGCTGTTGCTTGAAAGGTTTCCTCGAGGGGAAACATTGTATTCTTGTCCCGATTCCGAAAGAAGGGTAGGCAAAGTGAATACCAACGTAACATACTCTAATTAGAGGTGTAGAAACGAATCGTACTTGGGCCATAATTTTCGGTCCATAGTTTGTGGTAATAGCAGAAAGCCAGTCATAATAATTAAAACCAGGAGCAGCTTAAGAAAATAAATAAGTGATTGAGAATCAAGTTCTGCTTGCGACAAAAATGTTTTTGCTTTTACTTGATGTTGATCTGGCATTACGTTACAAATAAGTTATCTACTGTAGTCTTTTAGAGATGATGCTATCGAGGGAAGCACCTCCTCCAATGAGAAGTGCTTCACTCTCAAGTACTTCTCCAATTTAAACCCTCTTCTAAACTCCAGAAGTAACCCAAGAAGCATGTGAGTGGGGGAATGCAGTCCAGAAAGATCTCTACCACGAAGTAGGAAGCCAAAAGTGGCAACACCTCTGACCATTGAGCCAAATTCACCACCGACTTTCACAATGACGAGTAATGTCGTCAACATGGCTACTGCACTAAACAGAGATGTTACCAGGCCTAGTTTAAGTTAATTTGGCTTGATCGATGATTCAACACCATTCTACATGCATTCGAATATTTACCGGAACATATCATTTAATATAAGTACGGACTTCATGTAGCTATGAGGGACTTTGGAATGTACCAACTCGATGGGGTCGGTCTGTCTCATCCTTACCTCAATTATTCGGACCCTCAGTTGTCATCTGCGACTGCACTCGTGGATTTGTACGAACGCACAACGCACAGCACCATATTAGTGTTCTTCATCATACTTGGCATATCGTCTCACAAGGGTAGCGTTCATATTCCACTTCTTTCTAATGGTTGGTTCTCTCTCAGCATCAGTCACTTGGTTACTTGTCGGGCAAAGGTTTCACTGGAAGTGAACACGGTAGGAACATATAGGTGTTCACCCGTTGCTGGCACCCAAAAGATATGGAATAGAGTATATCTGTAATGTACTACTCAGAAGGTTGCTGAAAATCCATCGACAGCCCACGACCGGTTTCGCCCTTCTTGGGGCTCATCAGGTAGGCGCAGTCCCCGTTCCAGGTGTCTCTCGAAAGAACCAAATTAGTTTGCAAATGAGTGTATATTCGCTAATATGGAATAGAGGTTCCTCACACCTTTTGCATTGGAGCGAGGGTGAGTCATCAGCAGAACAGCCTAGTTCTGAGTGGAACTCATTAAAGATGGCGACCTAGTAAAACTAGGTCAAACACAAGCGTTCCCATCACTCTGTCCGTCATTAAATGATGGTCAGTGCAAGCCTCGGAGCTTTCGTCATGCCCAGCTGGTCAGTCGAACAGAACGATTTGCATGGTCCACTCGCTTTTGGACAATTTAGGTGACGAAAACAAACCGTAATAAGCAGTATTTAGGTGAGAGGACTTCGGTCTGGCGTTCAGTCGTATAGACTTATCTCTGTAGCCTCTTTTGCAGCTCTTTTTCGAGAGTATATATATATATATGTCCCGGGTGTAGATGTGCAAGGGATTTAGCCTGGTGCAGCTGATGGTTGATAAGACTTGTAAAAAATCGAATCTTTGTTAGCCAACTACGGACGATGTGAACCATGGTTCCTTCCTATCTCTCTTCCAAGAGGAGACCTCTGTCGAGAAAAACAGCCACGAATTTTCTCCTGAACGCAACTGTCACCCCACAGCTTGCTCGATATCACAGCCCATCAGTGCGCCGCCAAGTCGTGTGTGGCGCCCAAGAACGTCTCTAAAGCCACCGTGGTGTGGCCATGCCAAGATCACGTGAGACACCGCGCGCCTTGAGCGTGTGAATCGCCCAATCAAGAACGCCTCCGACCTCGCGTCACTTGAGCCACGACCACAGCAATTGAATGCACGGACGCACGTATGCATGCACGCGTGGCTTGATTGGGTGGATTTTAGGACTGAGTCAGACTGTCGCCATCTGCCGTGAGCTTGTACACTGGGGCTTCACTCTCGACTCCGAAAGCGTGAGCGGAGCACTGGCCTGCCTCACGTACGGCGCATGCTATGCTCTTTGCTAGATCAATCGTATCCTATCATGGTAAGTGGCTCGTATGGTTTGTCAATTGCTGCTGAAGTTTAAAGCCACAATTACCCTGATTGTTGCTAGTATCCCTCTACACTATCCTTACGCAGAAATCCTCAAGTGAGTGAGTGATTCCATTCGG